AATGCCTTAACAATATTGATGAGGCATAATTTTATTTCACTAGTTAACAAAGCCTGCAGAATATGAGAGCAAGTGCAACATAAATTAGAATTATACAATTTTATTTAACTCTAGAGTTCTAGAATTCTAGAAGTGGCCCATCTTACCTTGTCTCTGTGGAGCTCCTCTGAGAAACCATTTAGCAGTAGTCTGGAGCTGAGTTTCTAAAGCAGTCTGGCTATTGTCTTCTGGGAACTTACGAACAACAAAACCTGAACTTAACTCGGTAGATATAGACACTATTTTCTGTGCTTTGCTGGGCTGGTTGTGTTTTGTAGACAGGAACAGTGACTCTCAGCCTGGCTGTGATGTGCCCTGGATCTCCTGAGATGGCTTTTAGGGCTCTCAGAAAACCACAAAGCAAAATTAGCTCCAGTATCCACGGACAGGCCTCATACACACAATCTAAGACAATTCTTTATTTTCCACTGGGGAAGTGGGTCAAGGAATCACATGGAAGGTCTCTGAAACTGGTGACAGTATGGGGCTAGAAAACCCAGTTTGGTTTGTGGTAGTATTTGCTAGACATGCACTTGAGTAGAAAGCATAAGACGACAAATCCATGTGGCACGGTTCTCCAAGAAATGTACTAAATCAGACACATTTTTAAAAGGATTTATTTTTATTTTATGTGTATGACTGTTTGCCTGCATGTATGTATGTGCTCCATGTGCATGCAAAGCCCAAGGAGACCAGAAGAGGACACTGGATCCCCTGGAACTGGAGTTACAGATGGTTGTTAGTCACTTTGTGGGTGCTGGGAATCAAACGGAGGTCCTCTGCAAGAGCAGTCAGTGCTCTTAACTGCTGAGCCATCTCTCTAGTTTCTAGACACAATTTTTTTGGTTTTAAAAATTATAATCTTGAGAGAGTTTTAAAGAGTATCACTTGCACATTTAGAATCACAATTAGAAAAAAAACCTACATCACCACACCTTTCATGAAAGAAACGCACAAACATTGTAGAAAAGTTACAGGAAAATATAGAATATAGAAACAAGCTGGGCATGGTAGCACACACATTGGTCCCAGCACTCAGGAGGCGGAGGTAGGCAGATCCCTGTGAGATCAAGGTCCGCCTGGTCTACATAGCTACAAGTTCCAGGCCAGCTAGAGCTACAGGGAGACCCTGTCTCAAAAAGACCCAAAACAAAACAAAACCAACTTCTGTGCCTCAAAGTTTTAGAAAGGTTTTTAATAAACATATGCATTTTTGAAATAAAAATTCCCTCAGTCCTCCAATTTAGAACGCCCCCTCCCTCACCACCACCAAATCGTTTGCATTAAAACAGTCTTCCATGGGCTGGGGAGTTGGTTCAGTGGGTAAAGCACTTAAATCAAGCCTGATGACCTGAGTACTGAGCCCCAGAACCCATGTAAACGCTGTACATAGTAGCGCAAATGTGTGTAATCTCCACGTGTGTACAGGAAATGGGTGGAGACCGTAGTGTCGCTAGTCTGGTTACATCGCTACGAAGAGAATTCCTCCTACCCAAAGTGGAAAGGTGAGGACCTACACTGGACGGTTGTCCTCTGACCTCCACCCCATGGCACGAATGCACCAGTATTCTTACACGTAACAACAACCAGTCCCACATGAATGTTCTAGAAACTGAATCTGTGCGGACATTCATGGTTCTACCGCAGACTCAACTCTTATAGTGGGTGTGGCCGAAGCAAAGAGAAGCGCAGAGTCCGGGCATCTGCAGCTGTTTCCATGTGAGGGTGCAGAAGTTGTACCCACTCCTGCTCTCACCCACAGGGCCCACGTGCTGCAACTCTGAGCATGACTGTTTCCTAAAGTCCTTGACACCTTGGCAGAGAGGATCTTTCTCTGTCCACTGGTGATTCATGCTCAGATATGGAACGTGGGTACACCTGGCACTGTGGGGCGTCTCCGTACTGGGGTGGTGTAGTCTTTGCCTTTGGGAGAGCTGGTCACACAGCTGGAAATAGCTTCATGGGTGGTGGCACTGGGTGTGGAGGGGAAGGAACCTGTGTGAGACTCTCAGCTCTAGATCCACTGATCTGCTTCAAGTTAAATTTTCACATGAGGCATTTCTGAAGGAGGATGCAATAGGATTGGGTTCTTAGATAAAATACTGATGTGAACTGCAAGAAGTTAATTGTGCACACAGCAACTCTAGAGCTAGCTTTAAAAAGGACAGAAACTAGGTGCTGGCAACTAAGAAAAAGACTTAAATAAGGGCAATGAATATAGTTACCAGCAGTGGGGGGGGGCTGCTAGGAAGAGGTGGGGATTTCTTTTTGATTTAGTGATCATTTTGTGGGAATGTACATGAATTACTTGTATAAAGAAAAAAACAAAGTTTTGAAATTTTAGGTATGTTCACTGGGAATTGTTAGCTCTTCAAAGTTCAGAGGCCAGTGAATGCGGATTAGAGGCACAAGTAGATTGGCAGGGCTTCTAGGGACAACTTGGTACTGTGGGTATCCAGTGAAATGTGAGAGTCAGGGAGGGAGACAGGGAGAGGGGAAGCTGGAGAACAGAGGGCTGGTTGATGGGCAGAGCCAGAGGTAGAAACAACCCTGTCAACAGGCCATTCAGAAGCTGGGCAGCCTGACTTCTGGGACCATGGGGACCAGACAGTGGTCTCCTTATGATAAGTTCTGGGGGAGCACTGGGTAGGGGCCACCTGCTTCTGCAGCCAACACAGCAGCAGTCTGGCTTGAGCTGAGGTTCTGAGAAGTTAAGGATTTGTGTCAAGACACAGAGCTGACTCTGCAGCAGCATGCTAACACTGGCAGGTACTCTGACCCCTAACTACATCACCTGGGATTGTACAAGACAGAGAAGGCCAGATTTTAACTCCACCACTGTGTGTGGAACCACATGTCAACAAAATGGCCTGGGTTTCAAACAGATCACCCTGGAGCAGCCCCTCTTGGAGGCATGCCATAATGACTTTTTCTTTTGTCTGTTTTTGAGACAGGATCTCATGTATCCCAGGCTAGCCCCTAACGTGGCTTGCAGCCCAAGATGACTTCTTATACTCTTGCCTCTACCTCCCTAGTGCTGCAATTGGAGGCCTATGGGGTGGGGTTGGGGATCAAACCCAGGGCTGCCTGAATGCTAAGCAGTCATTCTACCAACCGTGCTCCTTCCCCAGTCCTCCACACCCGACTTGCAGAGTTGGGTTTGGAGAGGCAGATTCACTTCTCAACTACTGAAAGGAGGTGAGGAAAAATTATAGACTGCTGGAAAACTAGGTTCAACTTAGCTGACAGACTCAGAAATTCAGAAATAGAATTATTCCCTGAAGAGACTGGGGGTGTAGTGTGAATAAGGAGATCAGCTAAACTGCAGTTACCACCCCAGCCCTGGCTCCTTCTGCATTCCCAGTGGAGGAGCCTGCTGAACCCCAGACATTTATGACCCAAACACCCCAAACTTTCTAAAAGATTTTCCCTGGGCACTCACCAGAATTCTCTACTAAATTACCTTTTGGCATCCATTTCCAACTCATACACTGTACTATGGCTCTAATAAATAATAATAACATACATACTGGATAAATCTTTTCAAAATGAAGCCATATTTATACCTCCAAGAGGTTATAAAATATACATATTTAGGCATCATTATTGCCTTAGAAACTGCCAAGTTGGTAAGGAGTGAAGAGAGGCCAGGTTTCGGAGAGGGTTTACAGGGTTGAAACTCAGTTCGCCAGTCTTTAGTGTGGATTAAAGTGCTTATGTCAGCATGGAGGCACATGATCCAACAGGAACAAGCCAATGTGGTCAGGCTAGAAGAATGATCCTAATTTCACAGTGAGCCTTCTCTTCTTGGCATTTTGAAGTCTGAGTCATTAGAATGGAAGGAATTATGCTTTTATAGGGACTGGATTGGAACAGAAGATGAGGCGAACACCTCAGGTCCACAATCTAGGGTAGCTTTAAACTCCAGGATGGAATGCCTTGCAGACAGCTCCCAGGAGAAATGGCCATTATTGATCAAGAAATAAAGCATTCCTCATTGGTTTTCTTGAAACTGCAGAACTTTCTTGAAAACACAGAAGAAAAAGTCTTAGCCCTTTGCAGTGTCTGAAGTTGCACACAAAGCAGCCACGTCCCCGTGGGGCTGCATCACTTGTTACTTGCCCCTTTTCCGTCTTTGTACTGCCACCTAGAGAAGAAAGGGAAAGAGTCACCTTGAGAACCCAAGCCCCATGTGAAGCTTCTAGGACAAAGAGAGCTGGGGCACTTGTGTCCTGAGAATGAGCAGCTGTGTGCTTTCCCTTGGAGAGACTCACACAGGCCAAGGAAGATCCTAGTGTGGCCAGTCCGGCCACCTCATCCAGGGTTAAATTTCAGTGGACCAAGAAGCATATTTTCCCTCAGCTGTTCATTATAAAATAGGTTCAAAATACAATACAACGTTCAACCACCCACATTAATGGAATGGATATCATTATTTGGGGGGATAGAAATGCATAAAATAAGTTCTTAAGATAACTGATTCTTAAGCTATTTCTATTTTTATTGTTTTTTTATTTCCTCTTTTTCTCTTAAAACAGATTTTTTTTTTCAAGCATGAGCCTTAAGCACACTTGAAAGTATAGCAAAATAAATAAAGATGGACTTGCAGGAAGAGCAGAGTCCCCAGTCCCTTTGAAGAATGTACCTGGTGTGATTGCTGTATGTTGATGTCTTACTGAGTGCTGAGTTAAAAATAATTTATCCTGGAGCTGAAAGTTACAAACTTGCTGATGGAAGTCAGATTTCCATGCCACAATGTGGCTGTGACATGGAGGCAGCAAGGTCTTCCCTCGCTTTTCCCTTCCCCAGAACTCTGTGCCCCACGACTTGGCTTTTTCTGCACTCTTCCCCACCTGACAGACAACTGCCCACCCTAAAATGGCAACTTCTCTGGAGAGTGAATTTTTGTCTGCCACACTGTTGGCTTCATGTCCAGTACCTAGAACAGTGTTTGACATATTTCAGGTGCCCAGGGGACATCTTAAAGGAATAAGAGACTCCAAGTTCATTCCTTGGTTCCTTTGCAAGAACTGTCAACACGATTTTAATTTTATACACACACGTAAGATAACAACTTCTTTAATGTCTATGAAGAGCTGATTCCTCTGTAAACCTCACCTGGAGCCTTCTGTGCACTCAAATAGGCTTGATTAGCATGAAGCTATCAAAATAACATTTATTAACAAAAGCTCAATAAATCTTAAACGCTGGCAGTTGAATGAATCTGCTACATAGAAACTTTACTTACATTCCAGCTTGGGACTGCTGTAAACAAATTGACTTGCAGAATTCATCAAAAATAAACCCAGAAGATGAAGCAGAATAAATCTAATTTTTCCTTTATTATTTTCTATTATTATAAATTTGTACTTTTATTATAGGATAAATGGTTGCTGTGTAGATATTTCCTCTGAATTCAAACATTCCCTCCTAGAGGAGGGCTTATTAAAACTCAGAAGCAAACAAAACTCAGAAGTCTCAGGAAGTTCCTAAAACTCAAAGATTCACAAGGCTCCTCCAGTTATATGAGCTGTATCAATTGCTGGGATCCCCTCCTTTTACAAAGCTGCCTACACATTGTGGGGGAACTTCAGGATGCAGCTGTATGAGTGGTTACCACACTGGGTTATGATTTTCCATGATGCGGCTGCCTTTGAGTCATCCATAGTCCTGAAAGTAACCCCCACTCATACTCATGTAGGCAGCCTCATAACCCACTGGTTCACTAAGCCAGACTTGGGTGGGGTCATTTCTTTGGTCTGTCCTTGGTGCCCTGTCTGTAGTGAAGAGATATTTGCTCGTGTCTCACACAAGGAGCATAAGCTACACAGAGAATGGTGTAAGAATCTCAAGGAAGCCTCCTCCCACCAAAAGAGGCCTGAGCTTGCCTTTATAAAAGATGGAAGTTTGTATGGCTTCAGTTTGCCCCTCACAGGAACACTATGTCTCTTTGGTTTCTTTTGGATGGTTGTAAAAATTAATTTAAACAATGATGTGTGATTGCTGTAGAAAACTGTGAAGTCCTAACATAGCTAGGAAACTTTTGGGCCAGTCTAATGGCCCCACAGTGTAAGCCTGAGGAGTATATAAATCAAAGCACATCACAAGGTATCAAAATTGAAACTTTTCTTCTAATCCCTATGAAAATCAAAGCTGCTGAACGTCTTCCAAGTGCTATGAGAAACCCTCCTATTCACCTTCCTGGACCTGGGTTTTGTCTTCCAGGAAAAGGCTTTGCAACACAATGTACTAACCTGGGATCACTGAGTTTTAGGTTACCACTAGGGAAAGGAAGTCTTTGGGAAAAAATATGTGATACAAGATGGCTAGTCAGGCTGAACCATCTTTACAAATAGAGAAAACATTAACCCCTATGCTATGAAGAAGCTCTTTCACGCTGGGTAAGCAGGTGGTTTCTTGGGGGGTAGCAGCAGGCTAAGGAAGGGAGTTTGGTGTGGTGGAGAATCTGGGAGTCAGAGCTATAAGTTCATGTTCTGGTTTAGTTATTTATTAGCTGTGGGACTGTGGACAAATCAGTTGACCTTGACCTTTTCAATGGTAAAATAGGAAAAATAATTGTGTCATAATGTGGTTTCTGGAAGGCTTAAACATACATCTTTCTGTGAAAGGTGGTTTAAAAGTTTCAAAGCACTTTGCCAGTCTTTGTTAACACTTGTGATGTTTGCATTTCTTTCCATTGCAAAATCATGCACTTTTTAGAAAATGAGGAAGAGAAAATACAGACACACACACACACACACACACACACAGAGAGAGAGAGAGAGAGAGAGAGAGAGAGAGAGAGAGAGAGAGACACTACCATGGTAGGTGTGAGTGTTCCAGACTTTCTTCTAGCCAAACATGGTTATCTATCCAGAGCCTGGAGGAATGCCTGAGGAAACCTTATGAATTTTAGCTCTAAAAGCACTGTCTTCCCAGGTATAAAAGAGGGGCTCATGACAACCAGCAACCAAAACGTGCTGTAAAATGATGCAATGGTCTAGTCCCATCTAGTAGGTGATTTCAAGTCAATTATGCCAGTGATCTCTCCAAGGCTCACAGACTTATGGCAGATGGGGATTCTAATCAGTACCATCAGGTACTTTACTGGGTCTTTTTAATACTGAAGCATGGTTGCTCACTGAGTCACTTATTTTTAACTTCATTGCCTCTGTGTCTTTGGAAGACTCCAAATAGGAGAAATGAGACTCCAGGAAGGAACCACATCTATGCAATAGACCCAAATGGCAAACGACAATTCCCCTCAATACCACCTTGAGCCTATGGAGAACAATCTCCTTGAGAGTTTAGAAATGAAGTTAAACTTGAAAGTTGAATAACAGAGCGCTGGGTGTGGCAGTGCATGTCTGTAATCCCAGCACTCAGGAGGTAGAGGCAGGAGGATCAAGAGTTCAAGGCCAGCCGTAGATCCTGTCTCAAACAACAAGGCAACCAAGAAGATGAAAGAATTGAAAGTAGAAGGAAAATCTGAATTGAAAATAAAATTGGACATAAAAGGAAAGGTGCTTAGTAATCTGGGATCGTTTTTTGAAATCCATATGATTTGATGAAAAAGATCTCCTGTGTGCACCCAGGTAGGTGCAGAGACTGTAGGAATTTTCTGAAGCTTTCCCAAACTTAGCACATTAAACCAAAAAGAAAAATGATGTGGGAGCAAAGGCCAAAAGATTTGAGAAAGTTTAAGTACGCCCGAAGGATGGCATATAAAGACCAAAATGGCTCGTGTGAAATTCTCTGAGCTAGAAAGATGTGTGTGTGTGTATGTGTGTGTGTGTGTGTGTGTGTGTGCATCTATAAGCCCATGTTGTGCTTCCCTAATATTATTACCCTGAGATGCTGTTGGCAGATTCAACACCTTTTGGTTTTCATTTCTTAATAATTTTCCCTTCTTGTTAATGTGGCACATAGCTGGATAGGTCAAGCTATTCCAACATCCAAGTCAACTATGAGAGAAAATAAATTTACTAATTTCCTTAATTCCCAATTAATCTGGGGCCAAGTCATTATGCACATTCTTATTTAAGGTATTTGATTAGACAAGGTCTTCATAAAAAAATCACAAAATTCTCAAACTTCCTTAATATAGGTTGTATGATATTAATAATCTCTAAATGCCATGTAAGAACAAACTTATCAGCATTAGCATAGCCACATGTAAGGACATAATGTGTTTTAGCTGTAGATCTGTGACATGTAGAGAAAATGACAGCAGAAAATATAGTTCAAATATCAGAAATTCACAGTCTTTCATGCAGAGAAATGAAATACTATGTCTATTTCACTTATTATTGGAATCACTCACATTCAGGCTCCCGGTCCATACAAGTTTGAATGAGCTTATGAAAATGTCCTTGGACACCACAGAAAACCCATTCTCATGAATCTGGAAGTCTAAGGGCCAGCTGCTAGACTGTTGGGGCCCCAATGTTATACTAAAGAAACTTGTCTGGGTATCCTCTACACATAGATTGATAGGTTAATTTCTTATGTGATAAATTTTTGTCTGTGCTGTCCCAAGTTAGATGTTGGGAGTACAATTTTAGATCAGTCAGGCAAGATCCTATGGAAAGGCCAAGGGAAAAAGAAAAGGGATGGAGGGTAGCTGAGTAGAAACTGGTAGAGGCAGGTAAAGAATTAAGGGTTTGAGCCTCTACAAAAACGAGTCTTGAGATAAGTGATTACGGTAAGACAGAACCAGTCATGTGATAGAGATAAACCACTCATATAAAGGCAGCAGTGTGGGAAGAGCCTGGCAAACTCAAGGACCAAAAAGAGGGCCCCAACTTAGCTTAGTCTCTTTGAAAGGTCAAGGTGAATAAAGATCTTGACATTGTTTCTTAGAAAAAAGTTAAGGGGCTGGGGAGGTAGGTCAGTTGGTAAAGAGCTGGTGGTGCAAATATAAGAACCTGAGTTTGATTCCCCTGTAAAGCCCAAGTATTGTGGCACCCATGTGTAATTCTAGTGTTGAAGAGTTTGAGACAGGCAGATTCCATGTGTAATTCCAGTGTTGAAGAGTTTGAAACAAGCGGATTCCATGGGCTCAGTGGCCGGCAGGCCTAGCCTAATTAATGAGCCCTTGACCTGAAAAGCCAAGGTGCAGGGGTCCTGAGGAACGACATCTTGGCC